AATATAAATGGTATACAATTATAAACACCTAAATTAATATTATCCCATAATGGATAAATTTGATATAATCGTGCATTAGGATCAATTGTACCATTTGATCGATAAAAGCAAGCAAAAATAAGAAAATGGAAATTGAATAGAGCAACAAGGATAATAATGCATGAAATAATTATAAGAACACCTTTTTTACGACCACACCATGGACGATGAAGACGACTAGCTGATATATATCGATCAAAACACATAAATACACGAAGCCAAGCTGATGATTACCCAGCAAAATAATTTAAAAATCCAAAAATTTTACATGTTGCTATTGAATATGTTAAAAGTCTAAATCCATGTTTACATGAAAGATAATGATCAAGATTCCATCTATATAACATAAATATATCAAATATAGCTATTGCACGCATATAATGTATTATTGGTTGTTTTTTTGTATTTCGAAATGTTGAACGATAAAGAATAATTAATATTAAAACATTTAATAAAGTACCATTAATAACTAAAACTAATGGATAATAAGTAGTAACTAAATGTTTAGTTGATTTCACATTTGTTGTCGTATTGTTTGACATATTGTACTGTCTTTTCAATTGAAGCTAATAAAAAAAATGATATATTTGTAGAAAACTAGTTATTATAAATGCTGGATTTATATATACTATACAATAGTTTCTTTTTCATGCATGTTAAAATATTTTAATGATATAGTGCGATTATGTCAAAAAGGGATGTAGTCACATATTTTTAATAATCTTTTGAAAAAGAAGTTCGTACGACTCATTTTTAGTTTTAATATTCATTTCTATACGCACCTAAATACTTTATATATCTTATCTATCCATTACGAAGAGTTAAAACGAAATAATGATATGTATAGAAAGATGAATCAGGAATTAAGATACAAAGTCTATTAGCTTTCTATTTACATGTCAATATAACATCAATAATATGAAAATAATTTTTTTTCTCTATTAAAGTAATAATATATTCTTTTCTCTTTTTTTCCATGTCAGTAAATGTTAAATAATTAATACATATCTATGTCTTCTATTTTTATTTCAAAGATTAACAAGGATCAGCATACAAAAGCAGTTTCTATTACTTTTTCAAAAACGAGATGAAAACGTGTCGAACTGTGCAAGCAAGAGTCATACATTTAGCTCTGAAATAATATATACATTCTAATTGAACATTTAGTGAAACTTTCTAGTCATTTCTGTGGAATCATCTAGCATGCAAACGAAATAGATCTTCGCGAAATTTTATTATTATGATACTACTTAATGAATGATAGAACATAGAACGTTATTTTTACTCTAGATATGCCTTAAGTGCTTCTGCAATATCATCTTTTCAATTGAATAATTATTCCTATTCTTTAAAATAGTTTTAATAGATACATTATAAATATCTTCTTTTTTTATTATATAAATTTTTTCAACATTGAATGAAAAAAATAATAGTCTTTTATTTAATAATATATCAACCATCAGATATATACACAATTGAGAAACTATCATCCATTAGAATGAATGCTTTCAAGAATAAGATAAGTGTGATAATGTAAAAGTTTAAA